CAGAGGTCATGACAGGACACACACTGAGGTGAAAGTGTTGATTAGTGCTGTTGTTATTGTGTCGTATCGATGGCGTCACATCACACACTGCAGACGGACATCACACACTGCAGACGGACACATCACACACTGCAGACGGACACATCACACACTGCAGACGGACTCATCACACACTGCAGGTGAATCTGTTATTACAGTATGGACAGTGTTGTTGCCTCTATAGTGTTTGTTTCTGCCACTGTGGAGGTCAATGGTTACAGGTTTTTAGCATTCTTCTAAACATCTTCTTTAGTGTGTCTGAAATATAATAACTCTTCATAATAATAACTCTGTAGTGCTTTAGAATGAGCAGACTTGAGCGGAAGAGACGCGTCAAGGTTTAAAAGCGCCCTAATCTTCTGTAATACTGTTGCTAAGCTGTGTGTAAGATTTTTTATTTACAGTTTGTTGTTTTTAGGACAGCAGTATCTCCAGCAGAAAACCTCTGATGTTTAAATTGAACAGAAGTCAGTGTTTCTGAAACTCATGAGGACAGCAGACTCGTCTGTTATTCAGCCTGACGTGTCTACTGCTCCAAAATACTTTCAATCTTTCACTAAATAAGATCTGTTGTGTTCAAAGAGGGAAACAGGTGTTGTTTACCCAGACATTTAAAGAGGATATATTGTAGAGCCGTGAGCACAACACCGTGATACATGTATACAAGGTTATCACACCGTCACAGTCTGATATCTGCAGTCCGGGCCACGTCTCCAGGCTTCCAGTATATCTCAGGTGAGTCTCAAGTCAGAACTCTGTGTACAGTCTGAGTGATGCCCAGTAATGCTGAGCTCTAATGTCTGATCTATAGTCTATATACTGTAGAGCTGTGCAATGTGAATGTGAATACAGTGCTTTGCTGCATCGACACTGTAGATTCTACAGGAGACTGTGTGTGTGTGTGTGTGTGTACCTGCATATGTAATCATGTGTTCCTCCACACACTCTGTCAGCCCTGAGAAGAGCAGAGGACGCTCCTACACGGACAGTGTGTGTGTTGCAGACCAAGAGCATCATTTACACACACACACACTGTCCGTGTATGAGCGTCCTCTGCTCTTCTCAGGGCTGACAGAGTGTGTTTGCTCTGGGTTGTGTGTCTGCAGAGCGTGTCGTGTTCGCGTGTGTGTGATGACGGATATACTGCTGACTGATGAGGGTTATCCTCTGAATAGTGTCTCCGTATCGGTGTATGATCGCAGTGTGTGTGTGTTTGCTGAAGTGTTTGAGTTTCTGCCAGAGGTGTGTGTGTTCCTCCTGTAGAGTGTGTGTTGATTAAACACAGGAGCTGATCTGAACACGGCCGTATCTGCAGATCTCCTGCTCCTACAGATGAAGCAGATCTTCACAGTGACTGCAGATCCTCCACACCAGCATCTGCAGACCCTCATCAGCAGATACCATCTCCGTCTGGAGGATCAACAGTACAGATCTGCGCTCAAATAAAGAGCAGCTGCCAAGAAAACACACAGCAGTCTTCAAGAGCGTCACAAATAAAACCTTTATTGTTCAACAGAGACTCAGAGACATCAGAGACACGCTGCTCCATCCTCAATACTCTGAACATCACGAGAGCACGAGCGTCACATCACACACCTCATCACTTCTGTAACTGCTGTAATCAGTGTTTCTACAGTAAACCACCGCGATCACATCTCACACACACACACACACACACACACACACACACACACACACACACACACTGGAGCTCTGAATATGAGCTCACGCTGATCCTCACAGGGGCTTCATCTGTCAGGAGCAATGCTGTCGAGTTATAGCTCTGCTGAAAAACAGGAGAGTTTCAGCTCCGTCTGTCTGTGTGTGAAGCACCTGAAACACACACACACACACACACACACACACACACACACTCTGCACCCAGTAGATGGCAGCACAGGCGCAGGTTTGCTGAATCTGTGTTTAATAATACTCAGAGCAGTCTGAGTGCAGAATCACAGGATTGAGGAACACCACCACAAACACAGAAGAAAAGAGCCAGCAAATATTCAGACTGCGAGCGTGCGTGTGTGTGTGTGTGTGTGTGTGTGTTCACATCCAGGACCTTTAGAGAGGAGGAATAAAGGAACATCCACTGAGAGACTGAAGATGACAGATGAAGAAGGAGGAGGAGGAGGAACACACACACACACACACACACGGCTGATCTGAGACGCGCTGCTCCAGAAAGTGTGTTTGATTCTTGAGTTTCTATTATTATCATCAGGTCAGTACAGCTGAAACTATATTTAACCATGACTGATGATCTGTCCACACACACACACACACACACACACACACACACACACACACACACTTTCATCAATGATGGTCTATCAGACGTCTGCACACACTCTTATGATCTCCGCTGTGATGAAGATCACTCACACACACTCCGACAGTGACACACATTCGTCTAGAGCAGCCGGACTGAAGAACCACTCAAACACCTGCAGTCCTTATAAAACACTCCTCACACTCCACAACAACAACAATAATAATACTAAATACAGCTGCGATACACTCGAGCGTCATGCTTCATCTCTAATAGAGGCTAGGCTAATCATTACACTGATCCTCATCACAGTAGAATAATGCTGATATACGAGTTCATGATGAACTTCACAAGCAGAAGAAGAGGAGGAGGAGGAGGAGACAGAAGAGGGGAGTGGAGGGTCAGGCCAGGGGTCAGGGGTCAGTCCTTCAGGAGCTCTCCATCCTCCTGTCGTCACAGCTTCATGATCATAGTGAAAGACACAGAGACCGTAATTAATCTGCTGATGGTGCTCAGTGAGGGTCTGTGTGGGTATGTGAGGGTCAGTGAGGGTCTGTGTGGGTATGTGAGGGTCTGTGTGGGTTTGTGAGGGTCAGTGAGGGTCTGTGTGGGTATGTGAGGGTCTGTGTGGGTATGTGAGGGTCAGTGAGGGTCTGTGAGGGGCAGTGTGGGTCTGTGATGGGCAATGAGGGTCTGTGAGGGTCAGTGTGGGTCTGTGAGGGGGCAGTGTGGGTCTGTGAGGGTCTTCAGCACTGTAGCCTGATATTATCCTCCTCACATTTATAAGATCTGCTCCCTCAGACTCTTCAACCTCACCGCAGCAGCAGCAGGCTCAGTGTGGAGATGCAAATGCAGGAGGAGGAAGTGATTTCTGTGAGCTGTGTTTAACTGCAGACGACACACACACACACATCATGACTGTGCTCCTCTTCAATATCACTGCCTTGTTTCTAAATAAACACACACACTAATGTCCACACACTCCAGGACAGCCGAACAGGAGCAGATCAGGGCAGTCTGGAGGAGTTTCAGTGTGTAAGCGAACTGCTCCAAGAGCAAAGAGCGACAATGTAACATTTGTAATCTCTGTTTCGGAACAACTGAATCGATTTACAGGTGTGAAAGCACCCTAAGAGGTTTTAATGCGAAACTATGCCGATGATGCTCGGTGGCGGGGCAGAAATTTGAACAGTGTCCTGAGTCAAAGCTGGTTGTCACATATGGTAATTCAAATTTGTTTACAATTCTAAGATGCATGGCATGTTGTGGCGCTGCACGACTTATCCCATGTGTGACCCCCTTAAGGTGGTGTGTTAAATGTCAAGGTATTACTAGATAGTTTCTAAGAAGTTTCCAGAATGTTCTAGGCGGATGCCAAGTTGTTACTAAGTTGTTTCTAGGCGCTAGTAGGTCGGTTTTGGAGTTTCAAGGTGGTCAATGTGTTAACCAAATTGTTGCTATGGTGTTCTGGTAGTTTCCACCATGTTACGTATTGCAATATTTTGGGTTACAGATACAGATTTTTAATGGAAAACTACAATCCGCTGCATCCCATTCAACCAAACAAAATGTATCATCTTTATACATTCATAACAA